GGGCAGGGGGTGCCGGGCCGGGGGGTCCCGGGGGTCCCCGGTGCCAGGAGCTCTGTCCAGCCTGCCTTGGGCCTGCCCGTCCCTCGCCCGCGGCCTCGGGTCTTCCCTCCGCGCTGCACCGGGGAGGGGCTGGAAGTCCCTCCTGAGCAGCTGATCCAGGAGTTCTCGGGTGGTTCCCGGTTCCTGTCAGTCAAAGGATTTCTTCAGGTTCATGCTCTTTTTAAGTTTCTGAGGTAGCGAAGGTGAATCTCGGATCATATTTGTTAGAGAAGAAGCTTCTTTCCTGTGAGGGTGACAGAGCCCTGGGCCAGGCTGCCCAGAGAGGCTGCGGAGTCTCCTTGTCTGGAGACCTGATCCAGGAGTTCTCGGGTGGTTCCCGGTTCCTGTCAGTCAAAGGATTTCTTCAGGTTCATGCTCTTTTTAAGTTTCTGAGGTAGCGAAGGTGAATCTCGGATCATATTTGTTAGAGAAGAAGCTTCTTTCCTGTGAGGGTGACAGAGCCCTGGGCCAGGCTGCCCAGAGAGGCTGCGGAGTCTCCTTGTCTGGAGACATTCCAACCCCCCTGGTTCCTGTGTGATGTGCTCTGGGTGCCCCTGCTCTGGCAGGGGGGCTGGGCTGGGGGAGCTTTCCAGGTCCCTCCCAACCCCTGGGATTCTGTGGTTCAGTGAGAAAGGCTCCCCCGGCTCCCCCTGTGCTGGGGGTCCCTGTGAACACGGTGCAGCTCCGGGCTTGGGCTTGTGGAGAACATCCAGGCAAAGGGATCTGAGCAGGGTTTAGCGAGTCTTGCAGTGCATGAAACCCTAATGCTTGGGAATTACGCTGCTGATGGTTTGGTTTTGGTTTTGATTTTGCACAGCCAACCCGGCACGGTGAGAGGTCACAGCTCATGGTGCAGCTCGTGCCCTTTTTATTGTTTTCCTCTGAGGACACGGTACTTGTTCAGAGCCTGGTGCAATTGTAACAGCAATACTAAGAATTAAAGGGTCCTTTAACACAAATAACTAAGTAGATTATCTGTTTATGGTGCCCTGGTGCTGGCAAATGCAACTGGTATTTCATGGATTTAAATACGTCTACTTGGGCTCTGTTCTTGCAGTTAATTCGACCTGCCAGGAGCACCTCACATGGCCAGAGCTGTGCTTACTCCACATAGTGGAGTCACATCAGTGACCCCATGCCTCCTACCCAAAACCTTTACTGTTTCTGTCTTTACTGTTTCTGTGCAACATTTTTTACGCTATTCTGAGATGCTGGTTTCGTGTGAAATTCTTCTGGTGCCCCTCAGAACATGCATGATGTTGATTTAGCTGAACAGCATCTCCATCACTGGGGGCAGATGGTGTATTGTTCACTGCAAGGCTGGAGGGCTGCTTCTATTCATTTATGCAGATTCTGAGACATTTAATCTTTTGCATGGGAACTTGAGCTGTTCTCTGTAGCAGACAGATGTAGCCTTGGGCAGTTCATATCTAAGAGCTGAAGATGGCATTAGATACAAGAATATTGCAAATAGATCCAGAGATTCCTTTTGTATCAGCGCATGAAAATGTGCACCTCCTCATACCTGGGGAGAGTCTCCAGCTCAATAATTAATATCTGCATTTTTCCTGTTGAGGCTGGAGGAGGAGATCTGCTGTCCTAGGATGAGTTTGCTGCTTGTGTGTTACTCGTCTGAACTCTTAACTGCAAGACTAAAAAATACTGGAAATCTTTTCCTTTTGCCCAGGCCCCAGTTGCATGGGAAAAAAATTAAGAATTCGGGAGAGGCAGAATTTGGAATGTCAATAAAAGATTTATTATGCTATTTTTCAATGTGTCTGGGTAGTGAATGGATGGACTGAGCATACAGGTGTCTTCTCAGTGGTGGGAGGGAAAAGAGAGGGACCATCGGCTTGTAGGTTTTCTGGATGTCTGGTTTTGGATCTTTTCATGTAACGGTTATTTTTGCCTCTGTCTGGCAAAGGAAGAAAAAACGTTAGTGAGCAATATAGAACAACCCTGTTCCTAAAGTCTTAGACCAGTGCTGGCGTTCTTCAGTAGCTCTGCAGTGCGACATCTCCTGGCTGAGCTGAACTGAAGCTGCAGCGTGCTTGGAGCCTCCTGGAGGCAGCAGTGACATAAAAACTCTTTTGCCTTAAGTCTGTTTGAATGGTTTTCGGCTTAGTAGAGGCCCAGAGGTGTCACCACCTGATGGCTGTTCAATGGCTTGTGTGAAATGGCTCTTCAGGGTCTCGGTTCAATTTCTGAACCTCTCACTGTAGCACATTTCTCACTACAGTTACGCTCCAAGAAGATCTGAGTAAATAATTTGTAATGAGTAACGTGCTCACTTGCTGCCTTTTTCTACTAAGAAGTTTTAACAAATGAGGTAATTTTCATTTGCTCTTGGAAATTATTTACTGCTAATTTCTGCAAATTAAATGCTCTCAAGTGGTTTGTTCCATATGTGCAACATCCAGAGGCCTGCCCTGAGTGTTGACAGGGCTGAGCTCTCCAGTCTCACCACAATGCCCTTGTTAGAGCTGGGTGACAAGTAACTGGGTAAGCTGAAGTTAAGTGACTTGATCCCAAGTCACAGTGAAAGGTGGGAGTAGAGTATAACTGCTCAACCTCAGCAGTTCACTTAATGAGGTATGAAGCAAAAGATTGACTCATTTCTTCATGAAAAGGCACCTTAATAGCTCAGGGGTAATTAATTTCTTGAGGGGGAAGAGACAGGTCTATCTTCAAGGACACTAATTGTTGCCTAGATGCACCTAAAACCAGGTTACCCTGTGAAGAGCAGAATGGATGAGCCCAGATTGGCCCTGTCCATCCTCCCCAGCTTCTCTTCCATCTGACTTGGCTCCCTCCTGTCCCTACTTGTCACCACATACTGGGTGAGATGTTTGCCCAGGAGGTACTTGGGGCTTGCCAGATGGCAGGGTGAGGACAGCTGAGCCCACCCAGCTTCCCCTGAGGACGTTTGGCTGCCCCTTTACTACCTAATCAGAGTTTCATTGGACCTTGTGAGTTCTGCTGTCCCTTGGTCTAATCTGGTTGACACCAACCTGGGGAAGGGAGGCTCAGACTCCAATGAAAGATTTTGGGGGCTTCTCTTCTGTGACCTTCAGGGAGAGGATTGGTGCTACAGTTCCAGCACTCACTGGGACACAGGCTACACACCGGCTCCTTCTGCTCCGTACAGTGTTGATCGAGACAGGGCACTTGGGAAAGAAACAGAAGCAGTTTAGGGTGTGTAGGGGATGGTGGGGACCACCAACTGTTCATAACTAACAAAAGGTTGTTTCTGGAGGGGCCGTGGTACATGTGGCTTTACAGAGGAAAGCTGGGATATCACAGCACCTGATGCTTTTTCTTTTCAGTATCTCTCTCTTGTGTATAAACCTTCCACCAACATGCTTAAATAGTTCATCTGGCAGTCTAGACAACTAGAGGTTACCAGTCCTTTGAAAGTCTTGCCTGGTCTTTTCCACCCCGGAACTATTCTCCATCTGGCATCAGGGGTACCTCTGCCAGCTGGCCAGCAGCAGCCTGTGCTCAAGAGCATGATGTTGGTCTGGGCTGCTTTTTGACAGAATTGCCTCACACTGACAGTAATAATTTGAGGAGTGGTTGATTGCAGCCAAAAATCAGATGTGCCTCTCATAAAGTAGCTGGGTTGACAGGGAGCTAGTAAATTATAATCTCTGCTGAGAAGAGGCAGCAAGGTTTC